CTTCTTTGCGCCTCCCGTCAATCTCTTTACTTCGGTCCCGACGTGGGTCACCACGTCGTGGGCAAACTCTCTAAAACCTGACCAGATGGCATGAAGGGTCACATCTTGACCCTTGTTGGCCTGATACTCCTCAAGCCAGGCCTCGCTCACAACCTCAAGGTACCCCCGAATCTTGTCTAACTTCACGGGGGTCTCTGCTTGTGCCTGCACCTCTTGTCTGCATGCCCGGACTTTCTCCACCTCTCTAGCCACCCGGTTGGCTTCCTCCCTCCTTCTCTTCTTCTCCCTGGTCAGCCGCAACTTCCACTCCAATCTCTTTTCATCTTCTGCTGTCTGGCGGTCCACGGGGTCCTCCATCGCTTCCAACTCCCTAGCGAATGCTTCTCTCTCCTCCTGAGGCACGTACAATAGTGCCTCCTCATCCTCTCCCAGGGATAAATTAGCTACCCACTCGCTAATCTTTTTCTCCATCAACGCATCCTCTCCCTTCGTGTCACTGCTTTCCCCTCGTTCTTCCCTGCGTCTCTTGTCGAGGGGTACGTCTTCTACTTCTTCTTCCTCTGCTGTTACGGACTTCGCCAGGGCTCGATCCCTGGTCTATCTTTTGCTGTTTCGGCTGCATCCCGTTTTCGGCCTGGCACCCTTTTTCCAAACCCCTCCTTTGGTACCGTAGGATTTTGGACAACTGGCGCCATGCTGCAATTNACCCCTCCTTTGGTACCGTAGGATTTTGGACAACTGGCGCCATGCTGCAATTCGGGCGCCACTTTCAAATACTGCATTTTTCAGTTCTGCCCTCGGGGCCTTTGCAGAAATGCCCCTGGTACCGTACGTGTCACCGGTACTTATACCGGCTCCCCATACGGTACGGGGACCAGTCTCGTACCAGTTCTCTGCTGCTGTACTTGTACTTAGTGTGACTTGCCGTTTCGGCATTGGGAATCCAAGACTTCGACTCTGTGCCTTGCCACTGTGTCTGCGTCCAACCCTCAGTCCGAGTCCTTCGTGTCGAGTGAGTGAGTGTTTGTGTGTGCTCTCACTCTCTCCCTCTCTCTCTCCTCTCCCTCGGCTCACCCTCAGCCTCACTCCCGTTACATCTGCTGCTGCTTCTTCTTCAGCAGCCCTCCTCTTCTCTTCCTCCTCCTTCTCTAATCTCCTCATCTCTTCCTCCAACTTCTTCTTCTTCGCCGCCTGCTCCTCCGCTATCGCCTTTAACTTCGCCTGTTTGAGGATCTCCTTCTTCTCCTTCATCTCCTTTCTCTCTTTCAGAATGGCGGCGACACGCTCTTCTTGGGCCTGGGTGTAAGGGGTAGTGCTCTTCCCTCCACGAGTGTCAACCATGGTGTTAGGTGTACAACCAGACAACGGTTTCACTCCTCACCACATAGACTCTACTCCCCCTGACTGACTCAACCTACTAACTCAATCTAAGGACCACAGAATCCGGACAGGATCCTGTCAACTAGGGTCACTGGCCTAGACCTACTCTAAGGTTGTCACTACAGGACCTGTTGCTGATCAGGAGGCATTTAAGGAGATCCCCCGTAACTCCTCAGAAATTCTTCGACGTTGCAGACAGGACGATGCGATCAGCAGGTCCTCTCAAGACTTAGACGGCCTGTTGTGCAGCCCACAGCTCGGATTTTGGGCCTACCGTGCTACACGGAGCAGCCCACCGGTCAGTACCGGTCCTTGGGAGGGTTCGTGTCCTCCGGGAAAGTCGAGTCGTCAGACACAGTCCTTAGCCCTACTCAGCCCGTGAGGGTTTGGTCAACAAGGCCCTATCCTTCATCCACAGAGTCCTATCACCTGGACAGAAGAGACTCGATGCAGAAAGAAGAGAAAGACAGACTTGACTCAGCAAGTACCGCAGGGTGTGTGCACATCCAGGCTGAAGGCTTGGTGAGATTATACCGGCTCCAGCCTGGTCAAAATCGTGGTCAACAGTCTTGGTCAATGCCTTGGTCAACGCTTGGTCAACGCCCCCGGTCAACACTTCCGGTCAACTATGGCTGTCGTCTTCTCCTTCCTCACCACCCTTCGCCCTCCTCTCTCCTTCCTCGCCTCTTTCTTCTTC